CCGATAAAACGTTTGAACAGCTAAGCATAACTAAAAATATCTACATGATAATTGAATTCAGAAGAACCTTTTTATCCTTTGGGTCCACTGAGCGTGGAAAGGGTCGATTAGCAATTACGAAGGCCATTCTGGCATTTATTGAATTTACGCTAAGGGTTTGTTTCGTTTGATTGCCCTAAAATTACCAAAAAATATATTGGGTAGAGCTTATTAAATGAAACTACGTATTTTCTGTTTACTTAACATTATATGCTTTACATAACACATTTGCGCAAGAAAAGGTTACTTTATAAACTAATATTATACCGTGATACAATGTACTAGGTATTGAAATATACGATCCGCAACGGTTTGCTTTAGAAACTCTTGTTGATGAATAAATTTTAAGGTGGTGACATTATTTCGTAAAAGGTTAGATAGGATAGAAGATAAGATAATTTAAATATCAAAACAATTTACCAAAAAGATTTACAAATAAAAAACCCCTTAAATTAGTATTTCCACAAACATAAAAAACAGTACATTCTGCTTAATAACATATACAGGCAAGATATCATCAAAAATAGCAAAACATATACAAAAAAAGGGACAACGCCCGCTGTCAGAACAAACAACAACTTAAGCAAATCTATTAGAAACAACATAAGCCAGAAGAAAAGGCACTTACACAGTTGGGTATATTAACTAACATGTGCCGACTGCCCAGAAACTTACATCAGCCAAACTGGTAGAATCTTTAACCACCAGAAAGCAGAACACAAAACGGTTTTCAAAAATAGAAAAACAGATTCTACTTACGCACTTTACCTTCTAAATCATAATCATTCTTTTAATAACCAATTTCAAATTCTCCACATTTAAAATAAAGGCCTTAAGCTATCATTATTAGACTCTATGGAAATCAACAAACTAAAAAATACAGGTATAATTAGGGTGACCATAATTATTGAATAAAAAAAAAGTACATTTATAATTTTTAAGAAAATATGTACACTGCTAGTGCCCTAGGAATTTTTTTTTGTCAAAATTTTACGAAGAACGATTTTTTTTTAATAAAAAATAAGTACATAAAAAAGTATGATAAATTTTAATAGTTAATTTTCTTTCAACGTTCGTTCCTGAACATCTTGATCATCATTTTGGTACCAGTCGTACTTTTTGGAACTATGAATTTCCTTCAGAAAATGTGGTTTACTCTTTAAGAACTGAAACATTTCATTGCACGAAACTTTGAAGTTTTTGTAGTGCATGTTTGCATGATAGTTTCTAGCGTAGATATTTTCAACTGCGATTTGTTGGGACTTCAATAGCTATTGATGATTAAGAACAACCGCTCAATCGACGCACTGGTCCCAGGCAGACAAAAAACAAACTCACATAGAATTTTTAGATTTTTCAAAGCACTTTCTTTTTGGAAGATTTCGAGCCATCGATTTTCGGTAGAAATATTTTTCGAATTCCAGTCTGCGATTTTATCATCTGTAACGTAAGTTTGTATTAGACTAACTTCACCAAACAGTTCGTCCTGATTCAGTATCGGACCTATGTAGTCTTTGAAAGCCTCACACAACGTTAAAATTTCAGCCCAGGAAACTTGTTTTTTCAAGATGACCCATCCGAATAGCTTTAGTTCACTTACATTTTCACTCCAGTTTTTCAAATATGTTACACAATTTGAATAGAACTGCTTGACATGCATGATAAAGATATCCCGATAGTTCACGCTAAGGTCAAGGTCTTCCATATTTTCAAGTTTTGAAAGTGACTCTCTTACTTCAAGCGGTAAAATAACTCATGTAAGCGATTTTGAAGCTTATTTATGAGTTCGAAATACTCCAAAGCGGTTTCCGTTGCGCATATTTTGTCACCTTACACATCTAAAATCTCTTTGTGGAGAGAGACGCAATGTTATGCATAAACAAAATCCATGCTTCACTGATTGGGTTTTGAAAAAACTGGTTTAGAACTGTTGGACAATTATCAATCAATAAAAAATATGCTTTCAAGGGTTCGAATATTTGTATAATTCGTTCAATGACTGGCATTAGGCTCAAAAATCTTGATTTTGAAAACGACATTTTTTTGTACTCGATATCAACAAAATCGCAATACTGGTTTAGTTTCTCCACTCTGACTGTAAAAATATAGAAATACTTAAAAATCTTGACCGCAATAACCTCGATGTCTATAGGTAAGACGTCCGTCGTATTTTGTAAACAGTTATTAAAAATGTGTGCTACACAACCAATTCCAATCACGGGTTTACCACGAGCAGCATTTAATTTCCTGAATAGATTGTTCACTCCTTTTCTTCTCATTCCACCAAAATTTGTATTTGTATGTGATTCTGTGTGTAATTCGTATGTGATTCTTTTAACTGCTCTGATGTTTCACCAGGTAAGTCACGTAGCTGAAGTAATTTTACTTGGACACCATTTTCTCCATCAAAACATCTTACCATTATGGGCACAACTTTAATTTCTCTATGATTCGACGAATCGATTGTGATGCTGACGAAATTTGCTTTTCGAAGGTCAATTTCTAATTGGGATTAAGCCTCTTGAGCTAAAACATTTTTGATGAAATTGTTTATTTTTCCACACAGCACAAAATAATATAAAAAACGAGGAAAACTGCCGGAATTTAAGACAAAATGTTAACAGACTAATCAATAGTGAGCGCCTAAGTAACAAATAAACATAAACATGTGACGAGATATATATTTTTACTAAATAAATAAGATAATAAGATCTTGCTGAGAAATGAAATCGACAGTGATGGGAGAGAGATGAGCGTATCGGTAATAAACTGAACTAGACGATGACGCGGCGACGAGAGTCGCAAGTGACTCCTGCGCCGATCGATTGCTGCTAAAGATAGGAAATTCTGATTCTTCCGCAAAAGATCGATTCTTGAATCAATTCGAATCATAATTATATTTTTTTTTGGACAAAACATAGGACCAAATTTTGTGTAATTAAGAAAAAGAGTACATTTAGGTGTACTTTATAAATTTCAAAGTACAATAGGACAGCGTTTGAAAAGAAAGTACTGTCCTACTAAAAAAAGTACATATGGTCACCCTAGGTATAATGTTAAATGTAAAATATGGGAGAAATAGTTCTTCCCTCCTCAACTTATTTAGTTAAAGACTGTAAACTGTAAGGCGCATAACAAAAGAGCTCAATTGAGAAAGGCACTCTGCCGAAACATCTGTATAATGATAATAGCTGTATAGTTTTAATAAGTCATAATTAAATATAATAAACATTTGTGGAAGTGTTGAAATTTTTCTTTAATAAAGGTTTGCCAGTTCCCGTTTTTAGTATGTCTTTTAATTAAGTGACTAGTATGTTAAAGTTTTAATATACAGGGTGTTTCAAAAAGTTATATCATAAATTAAATCAAGCATTCGGGGACAAAAATAAATTGATGGAATCCAACTTACCTCAGTACAAAAGTATACACAAAAAAAGTTACAGCACTTTGAAGTTACAAAATAAAAATTGTTTTTTGAATTAGCTCCTAAACTACTTGACATTTTGTAATAAAAATGAACACGTTACTTTCTTCTTCTGAAAGAATTTTTCATACAAAATGGTAATGGTAAATGGTAATAATTATTTGCAGTCCTTGGCAAACGATTTACAAGAGTATTTGAAAGAAGTGAATACTGCAATAAAGCAAAATATGTGGTTTCTACAAGATGTCGCTCGACCGCATTACATTAATGAAGTCCGGGAATACCTTTGCAGGCAGTATCCTGGTCGGTGGAATGGAAGAGGTCGTGACGCACCTATTTCTTGGCCACCCAGAAGTCCAGTTCTTAACTCCATGGACTTTTGCTTTTGGGGGTTTATTGAAGAGAACGTGTATTTTGTAGCAATAGAGGACGAACAACAGATAAGGGTTAGAATAATTGAAGCTGCAAATCAATTTCGTCAAAAAATTATGATTTTTCAGCGCATTCGGTTTTCCTTATTAATACAATACCGAATGTGTATTGAAGAAAATGGGGGTCATTTTGAATATTTATTGTAATATTATATTTATAGAGGTTATAGATATTTTGTGTACTTGTTAATTCATTTAAGCCATTTATTTAGATGCACGTAATTTTTTAAATTTCATTGAAAAGGGCCGTAACTCAATAAAAACTGTTTTTTGAAAAAAGTGATATGTGGCAGAATTTTTTTAAAAATAACGTGTTAAGCTAATGATGCCACAAAATTCATTTGATTTAAACGCACTTAAAAGTTTGGGGGGATTTAGGGCTGTACACCTCACTTAAAATTTTTCTGTGCGCTTAGATTTTGTTGTTTCTTTTTTATAAAAAATTATTTTAGAGCAAAAAAGTCTATTTTTTACCAAACTAACGTGTCGAGTAGTTGAGGATATAATGCAAAAAACAAATTTTATTTTGTTCTTCAAACTTCAAACGGCTGTAACTTTTTTTGTGCACACTTTTGAACTATGGTAAGTTGGATTAAATAAATTTATGTTTGTTTTCGAAATGCGTGATTTAATTTATAATATACCTTTTTGAAACACCCTGTATAAACTATTGACGAGTGGTATAAAAGTCTTGTGATATTCTGTGACAGAGACAGAATGTCCCGCTAAAAATATAATGTTAGCCCAATTACTTATGGTAAAATTCATGATAAATTTGGTAAATTTGAGTGGTCTGTCGTTACTTAGTCTTAATATACATAAAAAGCTTTTTTCTTCGTTCGGTATATTCTACACAAAAAATGCTAACAAATGTTTGTGTTCAAAATTATCTTACCTTAATTTTTTATTTAAAACATTTTTTTCTGTGAAGTACAGATTCTTGGTAAATCGATTTTTTCCATTTTTCCCCTCTACATGAGGAGTTTTAGGGAAAAGCCCGGGGAAATTGACATTTTCAGTAAAACTCAGTTGGTTTAAAACCCTCTGACGATTGAAGTATTTCTAGTATTTTATTTTTTTTTAAGTATAAAGGAGTAAAAATAAAACAATAATATTAAACCAGTTTATTTACATCATTATTATAACTTTCTTGCATTCCACAAATTATGTTTTAAAAACATAGTTCAAGTGTTTGATCCATAGTCCAAATCTTTTGTGCAGTTTTAGTACCGGCGCTAAAAATAAAAAATAAAATATTTATAACTACATATTCCAAAAGCGCTCAAAAGTATTCGGCCCATGTTTATGATTTATATTTTTTATTCCTTATAATGCAACTTGTGACATTTTTCTATTTTACTGAACCCTATGCTGACTGTTTTAAGTGACTTTGTATTCATTTAAATTTTTTTATATTATATATATTATATATAAATATAATATATATTATATTATATTTTGTAAGACATAAAAATCACACGTTGTAGATAAGTATGTAGTAGAATTACCGTGATGAAAAAATTCAAAAAATCTTTGTTAATTTCTGACCTCTTGAAATTTAGTTTAATAATTTAGTCTACTCGCGTTAATACTTTCTATTTGTTTTACACGTTTAAACGATTGGAATTCTTCTCCTCAGGTAGCTGTAGCTTCCTCTGTGTTTATTGTTAGTTGCTGTGGAAACCATCAGGATCCTCTAACCCTAATGCAACAAATTGGTCGCATCGCTCCTGAGGTCATCCTTTTTGAAGTTAACATGCTCATTATCTAACTTAACTGTACCAAATATCCAGAAATACATATTCATGGTTGATATATTCATATATATATACATATATATATATATATATATATATATATATACATATATATATATATATATATAATATATATATATATATATATATATATATATATATATATATATATATATATATATATATGTATATGGATTAAATATATTAGACAAAAGTAAAATCATAAATACTTACTCCAGATCGACCCACACTCCAAGATCCACCAAATCTTTTCTTGCGCTAAAACAAATTTTTTGTCATTATTAAACTTTTACTTTTTACTTTTACTTTTATTATAAAACATATACTTGTTTTTATACAACTTCTTTATACAGAAAATAGGTTACAAATAGAAAGAGTTTAATGCTTTAACGATTAAATAGTATCAGTAAGTAGGATTTGTGTATCCAAAATGTTGAAACAAGATTGTAAAAAATATATTCTATAATATAGAACTAAATGACCAACGCACATAGAACTCAATTTAATTTACATAATAGTTGCAATATCTTTAATCTAAAAAATTAAAGCAGGAATATAATTGTATATAGTTTATTTTGCGGATTTTCTCCCATAAGTGAAGCAAGAAACATTAACAGTTATATTTCTATCAGATACACGCAGGTTAGAATTTTAAATGCGGTTGTATGGTCTCCAGTTAATTAGTATTTGGTCTGAATTTTTGCAAAAGAGCTTGATTTACGTCTTGATATGTTTCTTTAAATAAGGGATTAGAGCAGGCAAAATGGTCCCACTCCCAGAATTCAATTTTTTATTTTCTCGCTAAGACTCTCAAAGTTCTAGCCAGTTACTTTACTACTCCTATTCTCTAACCCCAAAAACAAAAGAAATCGTTTTTATTGCTTTTAGGTGGGGTGTAATCGATTTAAAAATTTCAAAAAATTCACAAGCATAATTCAGACTTTTACAAAACTTTCTATCTATAAATACTTTTTAACTCCTAGTCTATTTTTTATAGTCAAGTAGGTTGATTGTACCTGATGCTACCGATCCAAATTTTTTTTGTGTACTGCATTCTCTCTCCTGTTACTGTCAAAGAATGTAGAGCGTAGAATCATTTTAATTAATTTTAAACTGTTTGTCCTTGTTTTAGTGTAGTGTTTTGTACAACTTTATGTTAACATTCATGTTTATTACATTCTACGCTTGCTGGGTAGCCCGTATTTGATGAAATGACACTGAAGATGCTATATTAAGCGAAAGTACTTGGGCAAGATTTGATTAAACTTGTGCTCGATATTTGCCTTAACTTTCGAAGTTAATATTTTATTGACTCAAAGGCCTCATTTAATTGTGAATATATTTATAAACTACAGAAAATTTTGACTCGATCTATTTTAAAGCATTTCGGAATTATGAAACTGTAGATCTGAAAAAAATCAAATACGGTTTTTTCCAAAAAGTTTTGTAAAAGTCTCAAATATTCATGTGATTTTTTTAAAATATTTAAATTAATTGCATCCCATCCAAAAACAAATTTTGTTGGTAGTGCATGGGGGAGGGTGGGCCTTAATTTGCGCTGAGCCTTATTGTTTAATCACGTAGAACGTAAAAAAATAAAAAAAATTAAATTATTGGAGTGAAGGCATTTTGCCTATCTGAACGTGTTATACATATTTTATGTTAACAAACAATAATTTTAAAAAAGCGTTTTTACTTTTGAATAATTAAAGAAAATTAATTACCTTTTCTCCATTTTCCTCATGTTTTTGTTTGTGCTAAAATAAATATACATTATGGTGTAAATAATATTAATCATAATATTTAAGTTTAATCTATTTAATAAAACAAATTTGAGAAAACCAAATAGTCAAAAAAAAATTTAACTATAAAAAAGGTAATGGTCTACAAACAATAAAAGCATTATGGCTGTCAGTTAAGTCAACAAACAATGTTGGTATTTTACTGGAAGCTATTTTAAGGGTGAAATAAAGCCTATGTGTATACTCACCAATTTTATCCCTGAAAAATACTTGGCTGGATGCTAAAACGATACATTTTTATAATATATTTTTTTGATTTCCGAAATAAAATGGCTGTTTTAAAATATTTAGAGTATGCTGATTTTCTAGATTTAAATAATAGTACATTGTTTACCGGGTAGGAAAAGCTTAACATTCCTGGACGACTGTGAAGATTGCTAAGTCGAGGCGCATGCCGAGACTTAGCAAGACAGAGTCCAGGAATGTGGCTTTTCCTACGAGGTAAACATACTATTTTTTCCGCAAATCGTTTAAAATTCGACAGATATTGATTGATTTAAAAAAAAAACGCGATAATTTTATTCCCAAATAAATTTTGCTTAGAAATTCCTAATAAAATTACTTGGGTTACTATGGAAACGTATTGAGGTTGAATTGTCAAACTTTTTCTATCATTTATGTAGAACACTAACAACTGTACGGAAATATCATTTCCTTATAGTAAGGAAATGACATTTCCTTACAGTAAGGAAGTCCTGACTTTTTCTTCAAGAAATTGTTAAAATTTCCTGGCGATTTCCGGAAAAAGAAATTTTCAAAAAGAATATTTACAGAATATTATACTATTTCCATTAATAATTTCGTTTTTTTAATAAATGTCTTATTTTATATGTATTACATAGTTGTAATATTTTTTGAACATATTTTGATATAGGTATTATAAAACATTACTTTTGAAAAAGTTGCTTTTGATTTTATAATTATAGAAAACTAATTACCTTTTTTTCGTCATCATCTAGTCTTCGTTTGCGCTAAAATAAATATACGGTTATTATATAAAAGGTGATATTTAATTGTAATGTATTAAATTAAATAACTTTAAAAAAGCTAATAATCAAACAAATATTCTTTTGACTACGTAAAAGTTTATAGCCTCTAATAATAAAAACTTTATAGCTTAAGTCAGTAGTTACAAAAATAATAATAATAATATGCTGGGAGCTAATTTAATGGTAAAATAAAGCCTCTGTTTACACTTACCAATTTTATTCCTGAAACATTCTTGACTGCATGCTGAAATATTAGATTTTTATTTATTTTTGCTTTGTTTTGTATGCAATTTATAATTACACTCTTTAATTACTAATATATTTTTATGCTCTTCTTAACTTAATAAACTTAAATGTAAAAAAAAAAATTTCAGATTTTACAGTTATATATAGATATCATATGTCTTGATAAATCTTAACGTGTTCGTCACCAATCTGTCCTAAATTTGCAAGTATATTCCAAATGGGAATAAAGAAAATGAATTTTATGGAACATGTCTCATCCCATCAGCTTGTATGCGTCAAACATGTTCTCTAAAACAACTCTCTATATCTTTTATTTAAATTATTCTTTAAAACTTGCCATACACCAAGTTAAAGGTACTGCAGCTTTTAACACTACTGCCAAATTCTCTTTAAAGGCAGCATTTCTAAATAACTTGACTTTCACCTCACTTAATTTTAAGAATTTTTTAATAAAAAAATTGAAACCCTTTTCCTATTTGTTCGTTAACTTAAAATGTTTTATTTACTCCAATTTTATATATAATATGTAGCTGTAATATTACTGAGAAAGGGCCATTCAAGAAATCTATGAATACAGACCACTTTCGAGGCACGCTCTCTTTCTATTTAAAAATTAATTAAATAGACACATCTCTACTCTTAAGATTCCAGTTATCGTCGATGCAATGTGTTTCTTTCAATTTTTTAAACATTTTTTCTTTTCGTGTATGATTTCTTGGCTATTATCTCAAATACAGTCAGTGTTTATTTGGTTAGTCGATTTTTGGCGTTTTACTTTTTTTTAAGTTTTAGCTTCATGTCATTAATTAATAAGTTATAATCTAAGGCACAGAATAAGAAATACTTGTTTATTATTCTGTGTCTGAGGTAACATCGGCTGCAGGCATGATACTATAACAAAACAAGATAAGTCAACGCGTTCTTGTGACGTAGGCCCGAGACAACTTGCCAAATTTTCAAAATTAATGACAGCAAGTTAATTTTTAAAATTAAATTTAAATTTTTTACTTGAAGCAATTCTAGTTATATAAATAAAAAGAATTAATAATAATAACAGCAGAGCAAATGTTTCTATTGATAATAATAAATGTTTCTATAGATAATAATATATACTAATGCCCATTTTAATAGAACTTGAAGTAATACTTTAGTTTTGATAGGTCTTTAAAAATAGTTACTTTGGATGTATGAAGTATATAGTGAACTAAAACATATTTTTCGTAGTTATAATGACGACACATTAAAAATAACAAAAAATTATTTAAAAAACTTAATAGAAGCTGCAAAATATGTAAATGTTAGCGAAGATGTAAAATTACTTTTTCTTTAGATGCAAAATGTATTTTAAAATACGAATTCTAAATCAAAATATTAAAGATAATTACAACACCGCAAAAGAAAAATAACAAAGATTGTAAAATAAATGTCTAAATTTTAAACTTTTCCTTAGTGGTCAAATTCTTTACATTTTGCCGTCCTTTTATATTTAATTTATGTTTTGTAGCAATATTTATTTTGTTTTTAATACACACAATCAAATCATAGATTCATATATTTCTTTAATTAATTTTACAAATTACTTATTAATTTTCAAAACACGTTTCTTTCACAGAAAGTAACTATAATTGTAGTTATGACTTCTTAGTGCAAGATATGGCATCGAAGTATACTTACCGTTAACAGTTTAAGTTTTGAAGTTGTTCATTACAGTAATGGAACAACGTTGCCATATGATGCATCGTTAAAATATGATACATACTCATAATGAGACAAAGCCCCAGGCTTTGTCTCACTATGACGACATGCGCAAAGTCAATTAAAATTAGAACAGCAAGTGAGCATATCTTGTTGTTATATTGTTCTGAAGCTTACGTTTGTATTTTGAGAACGATTTCCGAAGTGGAAATTGAAACGTCAATAAACGTATTTTTATCTTTAATTGTGGCTTATTCCCAGTTTATTAGTAATTAATTGTTGTTATAGTATCAAGGGCTACAGGTAGTGTTTAGTTATCTTGATTGACTTTCGGTATATTTCAGTAATTGTTATATAATCAACCTGATTTTTTATGATCTTGTGTTTAGTATGTGCAGATGATTTTCAAGTATATAAACCACACTTGGGTATCGATGTTAATAAATTTTTAATTATTAACTATATATTATGTGGAATAGGTTTATTTACTTACCGCCACTTTCACGCCTTGTGGTTCATGGTGCGAATACTAAAATAAAAAGACAGTTTACATCATATATGTATATATATATATATATATATATATATATATATATATATATATATATATATATATAAAATAAATTTAAAAATTATTTTAATTCTAATTACCTCTTTGGCCGACACATATTTGACTGGCGCCTGAAAAAATAAATGAATCATGGTATTGTACAATACACTGTCAAGTAAGTAAATGTATGGAATAGCAGACTTGTGTAGCACTGACTTATTGTGCACACTGAATTCCCGATACCTGTTTCCCCACAATACCCCTTTATCACATACTGTTAAAAGTTAGGCATCAACTTAAATTCTCTCTATTATTAACAACTATGTTGAGAAACTACTAATGTTGTAGATCATTTATAAAAAAAATACTATAACGTTGATAGATAGTTTGTGCTTTAAAAGAGAGTCTGTATATATAAATAATTAATTTTTAATTAAAATGTATTAACCAAATTTAAAATCTTGAATTTCTACCACAAGCATCGATGTACGCCTAGATTCTAGCTTTAATACTGATAACAAATCAATCAATCATTTCCTTTGGCAAATTATCCCATTCTTGAATGAATAATGAATGATTATTTAGGAATTTCGTTGGGTATATACAGCTCAGTAGAGCACATCTCATGCATTTTTAATAGGACTTATGTCTGAAGACATCATAGGCCACTTCAAATGGTAAATACCTTCTGTCTCTAGATAGTCATCAACCACTTGAGGCATATGTGAGCTGTATCAATAAACAAAAACAATTTACACACAGCTTCTCGCCATATTGTCACATTAGGTTCTAAAATTCGTGTGTTGTATCTTTGTCATGTTTAAGTCCCGTCAATAACCATCACTTCCGTGCGTCCATCTGCCCAAAACATATCACTGCCACCAGCAAAAGCAAGTATGGGACTGGTATGTTCTAGTTGTGCTGTTATTGTTGGGTCTGGCCAAACACGAATGCGCTGCCTATCATTATTTAAACAGATTTCGCTTTTGTATAAAAAAATCGCAAAAGTCCAAAACTCTTGAGAAAGCTCTATTGTGATCTTGAGCCCACTGGAAGCAGTTCAAAACAAGTCGAGATTGTAGCTAAGGAACTCTTATTGGTCGATGACTAACATGTCGAAGTTGTAGCTTAGAAACTCTTATTGCTCGATGATTCGTCAAACTTGGGTCTAAAATTGTTTTTCTTTTTGTAGCCAATGATATTTTGACTCCTGTAACATAAAGTCCAGTAGTGTTTTTGGAGAGCTGGTACAGCCATAGAAAAATTTCTCCGAATGGAAATTCTGATATATCTGTTATGTTGCTTATCGATAACTCTGAGTTTACCAGAGCAAGCCCTATTCTGTATTAAATTTGTCTCCAAAAAACCTAGGAAGGGGGACATTACTTTGGGAAACACCCACTCTTTCCGCTACAAACCAAGGTGAATAGCCTTCAACTAAAGCGTCTTGCACGATTTTACTGAGAAATTAAATAGCCATTTAATATAAATCAAGTTTTTATAATTTTTTGCAAAATGAATTTTTCAAATGTTTACGTCTTGACAAAATCAGAACCATTAAATGAGTATTTAATAAAAGATGCAGTACTTACCCCTTTTATTCCTCGAGATGCATGCTGTGAGTGCTAAAACAAACAAGATCATATTAAGTGGTTTTCATATACAAGATGTAAGTTGAAAAACATTTCTATTATTAACCCAACACCTAAAGTTTAGTAGGTTATCATATTATTTAAGTTAAGTTAAGTGTGGTAAAGAACTATTAAATGCATAAAGAAACTACAATAATTATCCTTAACATTAGACATCGTAATAGAAATATTAATAATTCAATTGTTGATAAAATATATGGTAAATTTAAGATTAATCGAATTCTTTACAATAATTTTTGGTGTAGTAAGCCTCGCGCTAGTCTACAGTACACTCTACTGGACCCTATTTTATTAATAAACGTGGGTAGCTTGTGTACTTTATTTAAAATTTATTAACTTTAAATTCTAGTTAAAATTCTAAACAAACACTTAATACTTTATATTTATTATCATCATTTTACTTACACCTTTTACTCCCAGATCCTCATAGTGGGAAAGCTACAGCAAGAAATAATAAATAAATAAGTTATATATATATATATATATATATATATATATATATATATATATATATATATATATACATAAATGCGATAATTACAGTAAAGTTACTTACTCCTTTTACACCCTCATTACGGTTTGGTGACTGAAAAAAATTATTTTTAATCAATAGGGATACCATACCACTGTTTTAATATATAGACGTTATTTTTTAATTTTAATTTAATTAAACGTTTTCATAGTTAACATAGTTTTTATAGGAGTAGAGATCTACTTCTCACCCCAGAATACCTATAAAGAGATAATCAATAAAATTAATGAAGCAGGTTACGAAGCGCTCGGCACAATCCAAGAGAAAAAAAGAATACTCCATTGTGGTGGACAAATGACTTCGCCAATGCAGTACACAACAAGAAACAAGCATTATCAAAAGTGGTTGCAAACAAATGATCCAGATGATAGACGAACATATGCAAGATCAAACAGAGAAGTAAACAATTTAGTAACTAAAGCAAAAATATTTCCTGGGAAAGTAAATGCGAGGAACTCAACAAATATATAGGGTCAACAAGATCAAGAGAAGCATGGAAAACGGTAAAAAACAAACAGAACAAACAGAAAAGAAACGGGTAGAATAGATTTAATAGAAAAAAAATCTTGGATTGAACAATATTCATAACTTTTGACTGAAACAAGACCTCAATTCACGAACATCAGTACAACAACATATGAACTAGAATTCAGTGAAGACGATGAAATAACAGTACAGGAAGTCGAGAATGCAATACGAACTCTAAAAAATCGGAAATCATGCGGACCACAAGGTATACCAAATGAATTGTTAAAACATAGCCTACATGTATTACGGGAACTACTGGCGTATATCTTCACCTTATTCTATAATGGACACGACTTACCACCGGAGTGGAAAAAAGCACATATTAACAATATCTACAAAAAAGGAGATAGAAAGAATTGTTCAAACTACAGGGAGCTAAGTGTCATAAATTCAGTCTCAAGACTGTATGGAAAAATAATAAAAAAGAAAATTGAAAAAGAGATGACAGATGTAGAAGAACAGAATGGCTTTCGTGCAGGCAGATCCTGCATGGACAGTATATTCTCTCTAAAGCAAGTTATCGAGAAAAGATTAGTCCACAACCTTTCAACTCATATAGTCTTTATAGATCTGACAAAGGCATACGACAGTGTAGCACTTTCAATGTTTTGGATACACGTTTAACTCTCTGGACATCTTCCTATAGGGTTATTTAACAAGCAAGATTTGTAACCCCTGAAATTCTACAAAATATTCGTCGTAATTTCAAAGAGGGACTTTTTAATTGTATGGGCGTTGGTGGATATCACGTTGAACTTAGTAATAAGAGCTGATGAGTACTTTTTCACAAAAATTAAGGAGTAATATAAAAAAAACATAATGCTTCTATTTTTGGTTACTTGGTATTTTATCGAAGCTCTTAAATAAACAAAATTTAATAAAAATAAAAATAAAAATAAAAATAAAAACGTTTATTGCCTAATAAAATATACATGTCATTTATTTCATTCATTTTAGCCTTCTTTCTTCTGATGTACCGCTAATGCACCATCTTCTTCTTCTTCTTTTTCAACCTCTCGGCATCCTGGACTTCTCTGGGTGGTTTCCTCGTCTTTTTCTGTAGGTACTTTTTTAAGGCATCGTACCTACTTACCTGCTATGCTGTTTTTCAGCAACCATACGGCTAGACCCTGATCAGGTGGTCGATCAGTTTATGGGTTTGTCTATGCATCCTCTGGACCCTGTTATTCTCGAGGATGTCCCTGGTCTTATGGAGTCTTCTTGTGGCCTGGAAGAAGTTTCTTGTTCTTTTCTCGGCCACCTCCCTCAGTGGTGTGTACTGGAGCCTTTCTTTTATGGTTGCATTCGTTATTCTTTCATCCCATTGTGCTCCGTCGATTATACGGTAACACGCTGTTTCTGTAGCTTCCAAATTCTTCCAGTGGCTCTCTGCTATGGAGCTCCAAACTGGGACAGCGTATAACATCACCGATCTAACGTAGGCCTGGTATAATTGGATTTTCTTGGCCTTCGTTAGGGGGCTGGACCTGAAAATATAAGGAAGTATTAGTTTTTTAGAAACATTTGCTTTTACCTTTGTTTTCCGTATATGCATCCCGAAGTTGAGTCTTCTGTCAAGGTGGACTCCTAGATACTTCACTGAGTCCGTTCCTTGGATCCTGTTTCCTCCTACTGTGATTTCGTAGTTTTGTGGTCTCCTGTCCTGTGAAAAAACGATGAATTGTGTCTTCTCCGCGTTGATTTTTATCTTCCATTTTTCTGTGAACTCCGATATTTTTCCTAGGTGGTTTTCCATGTTCCTGATTATTCTTCTTTCATCTTTTCCGGATGCATATACGGCAGTGTCATCCGCGTAAAGGGCAGTTGAAGTTCGAGGATCTGCAGGGAGATCTGAAACAAAAATATTGTATAATATTGGAGATAAAATACTGCCTTGTGGCATTCCTTCCTGGATTTCTTGAAGTGTTGACATCTTTCGGTCAGCTGAAACCTGAAAAGTTCTATTAGATAAATATTTATCACAAATATTAATTAAGTAATGTGGGAGTCTTGCTTTGTCCATCTTGTAAATTAGTGCCTTTTTCCAAACCGTGTCGTATGCTTTTTCGATGTCCAGTATGGCTAATCCTGTTTTTTGTTTCCTGTTGAATTTTATTTTCGTGTCGCTGATTATTCTTGCTAGTTGAAGTTCGCAATTTCTACCTCTTCTGAATCCGAATTGGTCTTCTTGTATGATTCTTCTTCTTTCTGTGTGCTTCACCAGTCTTTTAAAGATGATTTTTTCCAGAACTTTTCCTAAAGTTTCTAATAGTGAAATAGGCCTGTAACTTTCTGGTCTTCTTCCGTCTTTTCTGGGCTTCAGAAGTGGAATTATCTTCGCATGTTTCCAATTGCTTGGAAAATGTCCCATTTCCAAGCAATATTTGTAGATATAGTACAGTTGTACTATAACCTTCTTTGGCAGTTCTTTGAGGGTGATGTTGTGGATTCCTTCTTGTCCTGGTGCTCTGTTTCCTTTAAGTCTTCTGATGATCTTAGCTACTTCATATGGACTGGTGAAGTCTTCTTCTTCTACTAAGAAATTATTTCTTCTTATTATCCTGTTGTATTCGGTGTTAACTTCGTGTTTCGTTATTGCATCTGACATATCCTCGTTTTGGTTGTGTGTAGCTGCTAATCTTCTTGCAATGGCATCCACTTTTCCTTGAGTTTCGTAGTGTACCCCCTCGTTGTCGATGATTTGTGGCATCTTTTGTTTTCCTCTTCTTTTGGCTTTCAGCATTTTCCATACGTTTCCTTGGTTTTCTTCTGCTTTCCTGATGTTGTTGTGCCATTGGTTTTCAGTAAGACTTCTCAATCTTACTCTTATTTCCTCCGATAGTGTGTCTCCGTAATCCTTGTATTCTTGTCTTCTCGTCCTTTGGAACATTCTTCTGGCCTTATTTCTGTCCTTGATGATGTCTTGTAGTTCCGTTGGTATGATTAATCCTTTATTGTTCGTCATTGCTTTTGGTATGTTGTCTTCCATGGCTTGTTGAATTTTTCTCGTTATTTCTTCGATTTTTCTTTCTACTTCTTCGATTGATTGGAAGTTTCTCTTCATCTCTATTTGGTTTAGTTGTCTCCTGTAATTAGGCCAGTTAGCGTCTTTCCATCTCCATCTTTCTACTGGTTCTATTGTGGGGAGGTCTACTCTTGAAGTCATCCGTCCTGTAACTGGTTTGTGATCCGAACTGCATTCAAAGTTGGCCTTTACATCTTCTATTATGACGTCTTTTGTGATGAATAAATCCAACGTAGAGTTGTTTTGATCTCTTTGAGGGTTGATTCTTGTCGGATCGTCAGGAGCAAATATCATCTTGTTTCTGTCTTCACAGTATCTGAGTAATGTATTACCAGATCTTGTATCTGTAACACATCCCCAAACACGACTTTTGGCGTTGAAATCTCCGGCTACGACGACGGTTGGTGCTGAGTTTAGCATTGCATCTAATTCTTCGATGGCTAATATATCTGAGTTAAACCTGTAAATAGAAAAAATGTTAGTATTTGCAATTTTGACTCCCACATTTTCAAATTGGTCTGTTTCTATTTCCACTTGATTCCATTCTATGTTGTTTTTAACATAGATTGCCACTCCTCTTTTGTTTGGAACGTCTCTTTTTCCGAATCCATCGTAATTTGTAATCCTTGGCAGTTGTGTTGTCGTCATGTAGAGTGTTTCTGAGAGGCAGATGATATCCGGATTGTGTCGTATCACTGTTTCTCGAAGTTCGTTTATTCTTAGCCGTAGGGAGGCTATGTTAAATTGTAGGATCTTCAGATGCCTAAGGTTCATTGTAGATCTCTTCGTATTTTATAAATATCATTGCTTTCTCTGCAAATGATTTCGCTGAAATTAATTCCCTCTTCATATCCTGTAGAAGTGACATCATTTTCTCTACGTTGACGATCTTGTTTATTTCCGCCCAAGTGTTTTTGATACCTTCTGCCGCTGTTGGTCTGGGTGCTCCTTTTGTTGTTTGTGCGTAAGATACGCCGCTGACTGTAGTCCTGAACGTTGATGGGTGCGGTGGAGGCGCTACTTTTTGTTGAGGTGTGTTTCTATTTCTTCTGGCCGCTTGTTGGTCCAAATACTCAATGTGTGTTGAGCACATCGGGTAGTTCGACGTGTGGTCTCCTCCACAATTGCAGCATTTTACTTTGTTGTTCTTGTCTTTTGGTAGTTGGCAACTTCTTGTTGGGTGGTTCGCTGCGCATTTCATGCATCTTGGCGATCTAAAACAGTTTCTGGCCGAGTGTCCAAAGTTTTGGCAGTTGTAACACTGCGTGGCCCTTGTCGGTTTGGAGTATGCGTCCCATCTGACGCGTATATTTTGAAGTCCGTTGATCTTCTTCACCTCCTTAAGATCTTGTTGCTTGTCGACCTGTAAGAGATAGGATTTACTTGTCTTACCTTCCTTGTGAGTCTTCATTTCTGTTACTTTGGCTACGATCCCTTGTTCCCTCAGTTCAGCCTCCACTTCGTCGAGATCCATTCCTGGAGCCGCCTTCATGACTAGTTT